AAACGACAAATGACAAACAGAACGACAGACGCAGACAAAGCGCTTATTTATAATCAGTGGAGCATAAGGTAAATAATTGTAGGCAACTCGTCCGAAACGGCAGCTCCATTATGCAAGAGGAAGAGAGGATCTTTATTGACGCTCTCAGACGAGTGTCTACACTTGACTTACATAATCGTCCGTGACTTGTCGTTAGCCGCCATGTCCTAATTCACGTTGCGTGGTGTGGGGTTGCACGAGGTAGCTCGTTCATTAGCTCGCACATTAACCGTCATTAGCTCACTATGCAAAGCCCTAGCGCCATTGTCGCGCACTTTCGAGCCGCGACAAGGGCAAAGCTGTGACACGCACGGAATACTCCACCCCACAGAGAATAAGTTTGGCACGACCTCATATGGGTGTTCCTTCGAAGAAGAAAAGGATTTTGTTTGCAGGCGATGTAAATCGTCGCGACATCAGATAAAGAGCGAAGAACCCACGATAGTACGTCAGAGCCAGGGACAGAGCGTGCTCAGGCGCCTTTGCAGACGACCGGTCTAGACCGATTGCTAGCACTTTCCCAATATACCATTGCTGATAAAATCTTCACTTTCAGCTCTGATTTTCGCCTCAACAGAGCTAGTCCAGTAGCAAGGATTCATTACCACGCTTATGGTCAGGGGATCAAATCCTGTATCTTAGCTTGCTTACAAGGGTGCCTTTCAGGTCACAGAGCGTTTTTTACAATGGTTATCTGAATGTTGTGGAGGCTCATGCGAGAAACACAGAAACCATGATTCATTTTTCCTGAACGCCCCAGGAATGTCAAAACAGAAGCAAAGAAATGGTCCAAAGTTCACTCCCGTGTGACAAAAATTTTTGCAATTTATGTTGGACGCCTCCAAATTGCCGCAAAACACGACAATGACATACCTCGACGATGGCGCCATTTGGCAGCAATCGCCAAACTATATTGCAAAAATTAGTCATCACCGGGGATCGAACTCTGGACCATTTCTTCACCACGTTTTGACATTCTGGAGGCGTTCAGGAAAAATGGATCATGGTTCTGTGTTCCTCGCATGAGCCCCTACAGTATGCAGAAAACCCATTTTGAAAAAGCGCTCCATTTCTTGATAGACGTCACCTGGTAGACCAATCAAGTCTCTACCGTTTTGACCAGTCTCAAAAGTAGATTGGTAAATTTGTAGCAGTCCTAGTCTAAGGTTTAAGGTGGTGGGCTATCCGTGCTGTGACGTCATACGTAAGCAGTACGTACCTTGAGCGTTGGCATTTGTAAGGAAAAGCAACGGCAGCACCAGGAAAAGCAGCATTTCGAGTGTGACGAAACCATCTGTTTTCCCTTGCTTTTCATAGCTATTGAAAATGCACTTTAGCTGAGCATGACCGTAAAATGAAGCATCATTCATTGCCATACACCCGCCTAAAAAGTTGCTTTCAAACGGATCTGCCCACAGCATTGTTTTTGTGCCGTTATTGCTATGAAAGCCACGTGTCGTCTATCGATGAGTTCTACCAAGATTAAGAGATAACTGAAAGAAGGACTATACCACCAAGATTTGCTTCTCGCTAGTGATTCCTTCCCTGTCGTTTCATTGGGCACGCGTGTCGAAATTTGGTGCCGGATGATATGAATCTTAATCCTTTGGTGTGGCGCGAACCTGGTAGTAAGTAAGAGTGTGTGAACCAGGGGGCATGGGGCAATTCAGAGGGGGGTAGAGCCATTTAAACCCGTGGCAAAAGTTTGGGCCTCAGTGTCTGGTATCTGGCCTTGTGAAAGAGACACAGAGGAGCAAAAGGGTTAGATATCACAACACGCTGCTGCCGTACACCTGGTCGGAATCCTTAGTTTGTGCAAGTTTTCCTGTTGGAAAAATCATACTGTTTTGAAGAATGAAAATTTGAACCAATGCTACTGACTATGGGCTCCTACCGCGGCTGCAGAAACAACATCTTGGTTCAGCAGCCCCATCCCTTGTTCGTCCTAACTCTCTTGTTTCTCCAAATAATGGCAAAATTATTGATTTTGTATATCATTGAACTGTATCTGTTTGTAAAACCAAAACTGCTTTTGTTTTTAGATTTCAATATTATTATATGTACTTTTTTCAAATTTCTTTTAGGGGGGTGGGATTTGAAGAGTAGTTGAGTCTCCGTTTCGCACGTGCCCTTAGAGGCTCTTCAAAGCCGTTTTATTTATTTGTTTATTTACTGGACGCTAAATTCTTTAGATCCACGTGGAATAAATCCTACAAAACAAGGAGGAACACACAGCCTCCAACAATAATACCATTCTTTTTGCAGACTACGCTTTGGTCACAAAATGGTTTTGCGATACAGTACTAGAATTACGGAAAAGGAGAAAACAAAACAATCGGAATGTCCTGGAGGCAAACAGCAATAAAAGAAACTGAACCAGGAGCCTATGTGATATCTCAATCTTTTGAAGAATTCAGAGAAAGGCGCATGATCTCATGTATAGGCTGAAAGAATCCGAATGCCACTATAAAGTGAATGTCATCGGTAGGAGCGCGCCTTATTCAACTGTTCATCACCTGTATCACCTGTCGTCCCGTTGATCATCGAATTGCTCGAGCGGGCGCCAGCAACGTCTCCATTCGTCCCTGTCGCGTGCAAGAGTTGTCCAGTGGACCCTCCTCGCTCGAGGGACACGTGTCCTTCATTCCTTTCGTTCAGAGCTTTCGTGAAGAAGTCTGACCATCGGGCCGGCGGTCGTCCAGGTGTTCGTTTGACGTCCCGAGGGATCCAGTCGGTAACCGCTCTGGTCCAACGGTCATCGCAAAATCGCATGACGTGTCCGGCCCACCTTATCTTCGATTCCTTGGCGAAAACGGCAGCGTCCCTGATCTTCGATCGTTGGCGTAGTTCGGCACTCCGGATTCCCCTCTGCACTTGCGTGTATAGGGTTACTCCTAGCATCGTCCTCTCGAGCGCGTTGGGTAACGCTGACCGCATAGTCCAAGTCTCTGAGGCGTAGGATAAGGCAGCAAGAACTGTGGAATCGAAGGGGTGGACACGGAACCGGATGTTCTTTGCCGGACGCGCCTTATTCAGTCAAGCAAGAATTAGGCTAACAGCGAGTGATTGTTCTCTTTCATGTGCCTAAATCGTGGTTCCGAGGTCTCAAGGCTGCAGTTTTGAGGCTGTCCAGAATTCGAAAAAGCTGCAGGTGATCATTGGTTTTTGATACGGAACCTTGCTTGAGTTCACAAAAATTACTCGTCATGACCATCTACGGTGTTCGCCGTGAACTTCGAAATTCACGGAGAAAAAAAAAACAACGAAGATTTCGCTTTTTCTCATTTTTTGTTAGAAATCCTTAACGTTGGTTTTCCCTTCATTTTAAAAATACTGTTGAACACAGTTTGTTGGGATTTACAAGAAAGCCCTTTCAAATTTTGAAAAGCCTCATTTATCTATCTGTCACGAGTGCATCGATTGCAGAAATGAATTAACTTTTCTGAGCTTGGAAAAACTCAATGGCAGAACCATAGAGTGTGTGCAGTGCCTCCTTTGAGTGCTTAAGCTTCAGTTCCATTGTAGACGAGAGGAGACATTCAGTAACGAGTGAAAAAACAAATCTTATTGCGCACTGGTTTCAAATAATGAAAGTAGTGGATTTCTAGCATGGAATCGATAATATGGTTTTGGTCTTTTTCAATGTTTGCGTTGTTCGACGCTGCCACAGTTTACTGGAAAAATTAACAATAGTGGAATTGGTTCGTACTAAATATTTGCTATAGAGGCAAATTACAGTCCACGACATTTTTGTATTCCCACTTTATGTCGGAATGCCATCGCATCCGGGGTACCCTTGGGAAGCTGTTCACCCGAACAAAAAATGATGAAAATGGCGCTCGGCCACAAATCAATACGCTAAGATTTGTGCTAGCAGAGTCGTAAATCTCCTTTATATTCAAGAAATGACAATCCGTACGGGGTGCTTCGTGCCATGTCTCTTCATCAGATAGATCAGATGGGCTCTATCCTCTGAGCGGAGCGCTCACAAGAGCGCTGCTCGAGATCGACGGCTAAACACTTTATTCAATAGAGACTAGGCAACTTTTTTCTTGAAGCTTCTCCCTCATCTGTTCGTATAACTTCGCGGGAGATCTCCGGCATTGAACTCAAATGTACCTAGTATGTCTCCATATCTTCTGTACCGTATTGCGGTGTAGGGGGTTCTGCCAACTATATCTCATTCACAAGCGCCACCCACGCCTAAGTTGGAACCAAATCTACACATGCCAACTTTCCGATTGCCCCTCGATCTTATCTATGTTCAGAGGGCGATGGGATCAGCCGTCGTTCAGTGAGGCATCGTCCCAGCGCTTCTCAAGTTTGCCGGACAGGTCCTGATGAATTTGAGAGACCAGCTTCTAATGTTTTTATCGCACCCTTTATCATCGGTACCCCAAATAAGTTGTATATGTCACGTATGCCTTCCTGTGCTATTGCTGGTTCGCATCGGGGGGGGGGCGTCAACAGAACTGGCCGAGAGTGGTCGTTCGACTGCGCGCGGTGTCAAGTGAACGTCAAAGGGATGGGTCCACTCGGTGTCCCTTTAACATTCAAAATCAAGTGACGCTTGCAGAAACTTGAGCACTGGAGTCTCGTCGTCACGACCACGACCAGTAGCGAGGGGCTTCGGACGTTCTTTTGCCATACACTCGGTTCGTTTCCACATCTGTGTCTACACTTACGACTTATCTGGGCCGGTAGGGTCACAGAGCCTCTGTCAACCGTGAGGTTAGGTAACTCAGCGGTTTTGGAACGGGTGCCTGGAAGCTTTCGCGCTATTGCACACATATCACAGAATCTGCCTTTATTTCCTTCAAAAGGCTTAGTCAACTACACTACGTGTCTGCTTTTCCATCTACACTCTCACTGTTTGGTTGACAGAAGACTTGTAACAGATGCGGTAGACGAAATGTAGGTCGATTGACAGCTGTCAAAATTGGGTCGTTCTGGAACTATGTTCAAACCTTTGCTCTATTTATTGTAAACACAAATAGTGAGTATAAGCAAAGTGGGACAAATTTAGTTTTGTGTAGAGGCACACAACAGAGACATGAGATCGTTGTGCTTTCTCTTTTTGCTGAAAATACCATCGCATCCATAGAGTGTGCCATTTGGGAGACGGCGGACCTGAATTAGTGCGATTTTTAGTTCGCCAAAAAAAGGGCCGGCGGCGGGCCGCCGCCGGGCGGGGCTGAGTAATATCCATTTGGGCAGTGTGCGATATTTTCGACATTTCAGTATATTGTAATTATTCTTCAACTTTGAGCATACAGTACGCGCGCTAAAAGGGTCGCCAGAACGATTTTTACGCTGCATTTCTTTTCTCGCTCATATAGGTCCTCTACAATACTGTGCTTTCTGGTGTTTTTATACCCTCAAACTTTTAAAGAATCAGGATTATTCAAGAAGAAAAAAATTTTGAGGCCACCAATGGTTTTTCCCCGCGAGAGTAAAGGGAAGCACGAAAAACCGTTTCGGCGCGAATACTTTTCACCGCTACTGTAAATCGACAATCTGACTTATCCTGAGCGTTTCAACCCGAGAAGTACGTAAGGGGCGCCCAGTCTAGTTCAAAATAGCTCACTTCTAGAATCTCATTATGCGAAGCGGGCGTTTTGACCCAGTTTACTAGGATGGCAACTGCTAGAACAAGTGAAGTATTAAGGAAGATATTGAGAGGGTGGGCCAAAAGTTTGAGGGCAAAACATTGTTGTGTTTCAAACGTAAAGTGCCTGGTGGGAAAAAAAAAACGTCAGGAACCTATTCAACTCTCATATCACAAATCAAAATCAGATTAGGATCGAGATCGGCCATCTACTGCATTCACACGGCCCTTCAAGTAAGAGGCATGGCGTGCGCTGTGGGACGCAGCTAACCATAAAACGTAAGAGGGTTCCAGGCTTTCTGCTAATGCCTTCTGACCTGGACTACTGTTGGTACACATGTGTACCACTTCCGTAGTCACAGGCGCTACCAGGGTCAACCGTTACGTTGGACCGACATTGGACCGACGTTGGACCGACGTTGACCGCTCTCCGCGCCGGCATTCGCACTCGCCTTGCGCGAGCCGTCTGTGTCTCCGTGCGTACGTTCACTCTCGGCATTACTCTCACACGCTAGAGAGCCATGCGTTGGACTTTGTCCAACGGACGGTTGACCCTGGCGCTACCATAATTTTGGGACTTATTCAGAGTGGAGTGCCCAGTGGAGTTGGGCACATATAAAAACCCCATAATTTTTACTCTGAAAACAAATCGTCACAAACCAAAGCGAGTTGCTTTGGACAAGTTAATAGGCCTATTGTACCAAGCCATTGATCAGTGTATGCAGCTCCAAAAAGGTATTCAAAGCTCACACACTCTAATAATTGTACTAGTCATTTTGGTGTCCCAATACATTTGTATCAGGTGCAACATTCGCCAAGGAACGATGAAAGATGGGCATTTTATCAGCCGAACCGGTCAGAAGACCACGCGGTGGAGATTCCAACCTTCAAGCTTCTGACCGTTCGAATGGTGCTAAACTAGAAGACTACCATGACAACACAGATTTTTGAGCAGTAACGAGTGTTTGTCAGTGATGTTAAAATTTGAACCGCGTTAGCTGTTTGTCGCAGCCGTTTTCGATCAGGAGTGAAGAATTAACATTGTGCTGCTGATTTCAAAGAGAGCAGTCGGGGGAGGGGTCCGCGGTATTTGACGAGGGAGTACTAGTACAAGGAAAACAAATACAAGCAGTGACTCAAGCAGATATCGCATTTTTGAGCCCACGCCGTGGAGTGAATGGTGTGGGACGTACTGTAATGCGTTATATTGAACTTGACGCCTAACCGCTATAGTATGCGGTGCGACTCGTCCTCTGCCGCGCCTGCATCTCTGACTTCGTCGCGCGACGGCCTCTTGGGAGGTACCCATTATTCCAAATCTCTGCCCCAACAAGCAGAACTTACTTGGTCTCCTTCTCAGCAAAGCGACTTTCGAAGGTTCCTAGCACCTTTTCTTCCAGTGTTCTAGTATCAGTCTTCCAGAAGGTCCTGAACACTATGGTGTAATACACATGTATTTATATATGTAAGTAAATAAATACAATACAAGGCGCTATCGCAATATGCAGATATCCCATCATTCTAGGACTAAGCCTAATAGGGGCAATAATCCAGGGAAAATGAGATTGTTGGAGTCTCTCCGCCCCTGAGGCTTGGCCCCGTTTTTTACAGGACGAAACATTGTTTACGCGGTTTTAAATGTATTGCCATCATAATGCCACCGTATATTGCGATAGCGCCCATTACAGAATGCTTCAGAAAATAATGATGAAAAAGTTCTAAAAAGAGCAATTATGACTTGATCGCTGCGAGCTTCAAATAGGATTCCTCAGTGGTTCGCGATTTTGATTCCATCAAAGCCTCACTTGCAATATCTTCACTCCACACCTACACAACACTTTATTATTTGTTTATTTATTTATCATTATGGACAAAAACTGCTGTGGAACACGTTTAAATGTGTCCACCAATAACTATTCGAGGAACTAACCAGTCCTTTATTGTACTTACTGTTGAGTCTCTCAAACGTCGCTCTCATCGTTGCTGGCAGATCTTCTGAGCCTGAAATGCTCGTATTCCCTTGGAATTTTGACGGAGCTCAGTCAGTGTGACCCGAAGATGTCTGATTTAGAGCGATATAGTGTGCCTGATTTTGCACAAGGTTCTAGACAATTACTTTGATTGTGAGTGTCTACCCGCACAATGGCGCCTAATGATGTTTATCTAAAGTGCAGCGTCATTATGAAGGGGAGTTCTTCTACCCTCAATTCTAATGATAATGCACCTTGGTTGAACATATGCAAAAATGGTGAGTGACGTAACGCATTCAGCGAAAAATAGCCCTTGGCAGTTCCTTGCGCTCGATTTTTTTGCCGGATTTCGGTATTGTTCCCTTTTATGGCGTTATTGCCCAGAATCTATTTTATGCGCAGAAAACAAGCGCGGCTGGTTAAGAAAAGCTTGTTAATTGAGAGTTCTCTGAGCAACGCAGCCCCATCAAAAAAGAAATCGAATTCTGGGCCGCAATGTAGCTCGGAGGGGCAGTCGCCGCGATCTCTGCTCGTCCGCGCCCTGTAGTAGTACTAAGCCATAGGAGTGGGCAGAAACTTTGCGAATATGAAAAATTGTTATGATCCTGGAGTTCCTCCTCCATCTGCCCGAGGCTTAGTCCCAATTACTGCGAAGAGGAAATGCTTATACAGAAAAACGCAGAGATCGCGCGCGGCGAGTGGCTCCCTCCGAGCAACATTGCGCCGAATTCTTCAACAGCATAAATGTTAAAGGGTTGCTCATTTTGTGTTGAGGCAATGAAAGACTGAGTGAGAGGGAAGGCGGTCATATGGCGCGGACTCATGGGGGTAGATGCGCACAATCCACAACTGTCCATTACTCTCGGCGTCTCGGACAAACTCGTTCGACGCTCACATCAGAACATGCTGCAATTGATCGATCTGATAATTTGGGTCTCAAAAATCTCGCTGAGTCTCAAGGATTCATCAAGAGCGAATCGCTTCGCTGGCCTGATGCCAAAGCAAGAGGAACGGAACAGAACGTGTGTGCGTGGACGAGTTGTCCTGCCACAGCAAGATGCGTTGATTGCGACCTGTACGGACGGAATCGCGCCATATGACGCACACCCAGAGGACGGATACGCGAGGGAACACAACGGATGAAAGACCCGCCAGCACGATAGTGTAGTGATAGTATTGAAATTGAAGCGCGTATTTGCACAAAAGCCCTGGTGCCTCTTGTCGCGTTGCGCACTCTAGAGATTGGAGAGAGGGGAATCTGCGATCTCCGTGAAAGCTCCAATTTTTACACAGCAAAAGATTCAGTCATTTGACCCATCCAGGAAAAGCCTTTGCATCTCACTCTAGAATTCGTTCACTGGGTGAGGGAATGACATTCAGCAAGCCCATAAAATAACTAGTAACAAATTCACTTACTCTTGAAGAGACACAGTATGGACAGGAGGTTGTATCGCGTGTATCCATTAAAAGTGCCGTCGCATCCGTACTGCGTACCGTTGGGAAGTTGACGAAGCTGAATGAATATGTCTGACACCTTTCGGCATAACAGATAACTCATTCCACGAAATAGAATCGCGAAAAAATTGTGGGTCTACTCCAGTTAGGGGGGCATCATGATGCAGTTTTTCCAGAAGCTACGGTAACTCCGAGCCAGGGGGAGTGTAGCCAGTCTAGGGGTGGGGGTGAGGGCAGTCACTTGACATGCGTGAAAAGCTGGAATGTTCGAGTTTAGTTCGCTGAGAAGCTGCTTCACATACGCCCTAAAATGGCATAGCCAGTGGCGTAAATCATCTTGGAGAAAAGGCGAACCGGAGAATTGAGGGTTGGTAGAAAACGTCATGTACTGATTCATAATTCTGAACGCTTCTGCGTTCAATTATTTATACAGTGGTAATATGCATCTGCGTTTTTTGCAGACCCCCCGGCTTTTTTAAGATGCACCTACATCGCATTGTTTCCTTCGATTTGTTATCTCTGTCAATTTTCTGGATGCTCAACTCGTTCGGACTCGAGAATTTACTGAGAAAGTTTGATGGCAGGCCTTAGGTCTTTTTCGAAAAAAAAAACAATGAATGGAAGCCCTTTCGAAGATTGACCGCTATGTACCTTGCACTCCTTACTAACTACATATAGTGTATGGGACTAGCTTTTCCCCCCTTCTTAGTTATTCGCCTGGACCACCGTTTGCTCACAGAGACCTATTTACATTCAAAAATTAAGATCTACTTTCTTGGGAAACATTTTGGCGGGAGCCCCGCCCATTAAAGTGCCCACCTTGGGCCAAGCTCTGCCATGCGGAAGCAGTTTCTCTTTTATATGCATTGGAAGTTGTAACTTCAATAGAAATTTTAGCATATGTCCCGCCCACCTGGCCCTGGTGCGACCATTATCGTACCCACTGTTAGCCAAGCCGTGCCTTCAAGCCCCATGGGCGATTTCCCATGCACTGGCGACCATACCCAACTATTTTCTTCGGTCTACGCAGCGAACCTAGCTGCTGGTAACAAGCAAACAATTAAACAAACAAAAACAAAGAGGCAAGAAGGCACACCAAACTGATGTTCTACATTTAGAAGGGATTCTCGTATTTGTCATTTTTGCGCAAGCT